CTACATGCATTATGTTTGGATGATACTGAGCATGATACCTTATGTTTCCACAGTTTATAATGCTTTATCTCTTTCGAGTCAATTTTCTGCTATTGAAATCTTGACTGGAAATAATTATGTGAGATGGAAATGAGATATAGAAATAGCATTTGGCATTTTGGGCTTGGATTTATTAAGCGCTCTATATCCAATTCTATCATGGGGAGACAATGAAAAACCAAGGGTTTTATAGATACCATAGGAGAGAAATTTATTGAATTTGATAAAGTCGAAATTGGGAATTTGATGGATAAATTAATGAAGATGAGATATGATGGTACAAGTGGTGTAAGACAGCACGTTATGAAGATGATAAATATATCGTCTAAGCTAAAGACTCTTAAAATTCCCTTGGCCTTTGTTTGTTTTAAGTCTTCCTTTGTAGATGTGCCTTTGAATTCTTGGTTGTTAGACTCTAGAGCTAGTATTCATATTGCGAATTCCTTGCAAGGGTTCACAAGTAAACGGAGGCTAAGTGAGAATGAAATACGCCTGTGCGTTGAAAATGGAGTTTAAGTAAAGGTTGAATTCATAGGAGTAGTAAAGTTATCTATGGAATCCGATTTTTCTCTTGTTTTAGAAAATACAGTTTATGTGCTGCAAGTGAGACACAATTTGATTTATATATCAAAACTTGATGCCTATGCTTTTACCTTTAACTTTGGTAATGGAATGATTGAGTTACTTTATGATTCTCGTTTAATTGGGAATGGCCTTCTATGTGATGGTTTATGTAAATAATCTTCAGACCCTTTTGGTGAAGTCTCCTATGTTACCAATGTGTAAAAAAAATGGCTTTAATCCGTGAATCGTCCTATATGTTGTGGCATAAGTGATTTAATCATATTTCAAGGGATAGAATGGAAATATTGGTAAAAGTTGAGATATTTCCCCATCTAAACTTATCTGATTTTGATACATGTGTGGATTGTATAAGAGTAAAGTTAACTAAGTCTACAAGGAAATGTTCCACTATGAGTTATGGTATTTTGGACTTGAAACATACTGATATTTTAGTAGACCTTTTCCTTCCACTATATGTGGGAAGAAATTCTTCATAACCCTTATTGATGATTTCTTACGATATGGATGTGTTTACTTGATTAATGATAAATCCTATGCACTTGAAAAATTTAAGATTTTCAAATGAAGGTAGAGAAATAATATGAAAAAAGTATTAAAGTTGTAAGATCTGACCGTGATTAGGATATTTCGTAGGTTAAGAGAAAGAATCATGTCTGACACCTAAGCCGATTTAGTAAGGACGAATCCCATACCTAGAATAGTTTTGATCGGAGGTTACCATACTTTTCTTTCCAGGCTAAAGTTGTAATGGATTGGTGGTGGTGAGTACTATAGCAAGTTTGACGAGATTGGTCAAAACATGGGTGATTTTGCAAAGTTTTTATAAAAGTGTGGAATGGTGCCCAATACACCATGTCAAAGACACCTGAGTAGAATGGTGTCTCTGGAAGGCATAATCGAACTTTGAAAGATATGGCCAGGAGTATGATGAGTAGAACAAATTTGCCTGAATATTTATGGGTGAGGCATTGAAAACTGCCGTGTATATTTTGGAAAGAGTTCCAAGTAAGGTCGTTACAAAGATGCCTTTTGAATCATGGAAAGAACGTATGCCAAGTGTAGCGCATTTTAAGGTTTGGGTATGTCCAATCGAGGTTAGAATTTATAATCCATTTGAAAATAAATTAGGCCCGAAATCAACTCCTGGTTACTTTCTTGGATATCCGGACAAATTAAAAGGATATAAGTTCTGGTGTTCAAATCGTAGCACTAGAATTGTTGAGTCCACTGCTACTAAATTTTAGGATAATGATTTTGGTGATATTAGGAGTTCTATATTGAGAGAACTTTTTGCTGAGTAAAATGAAGTTGTTGTTTCAATTCCAGTTCCTATTATACTGTAAAGAGTTGGTTCTTAACCAGTGGAAGTTGCTAATGAAGAATCGGGGAACCAAGATGAACTTTCAATTCCTCCAACAACAATTGAGTCGGTTCCTAAGGTACAAGTTAGGAGATCACAAAGGGAAAGAAGATCTGCATTACCTAGTGATTATATCACCTATTTATTGGAGAGTGATTTTAATATTGGGTATATTGTTGATCCTATAACTTATAATCAAACACTGACAAGCCCTAAGGTAGATAAATGGATAAATGCTATGGAAGATGAAATGAGTTCTATGGAGCAGAATAAAGTTCGGAAACTTGTTGAACTTCATCCAGATTCTAAAGCTATAGATAATAAGTGGATCTTTAAAAGTAAATTAGATTTGAAAGAGAATATTGAATAAAAGAAAGCAAGATTAGTTGCAAAAAGTTTCACTTAGGGAGAGGGCATTGATTACGTTGAAACCTTCTCACCTGTTTTGTCCAAAAATTCTTGGAAAACTTGGCGTGTAAGTTAAACAAATCCTTATATAGCCTCAAACAAGCATTTCGATAGTGATATTTAAAGTTTAACGAAGTTGTGATCATTCTTAGTTTTGTTGAAAATATAGTTGATAAATGCATTTATCTCAAAACCAATGGGAGAAATTTTATTTTTCTCGTCTTGTATGTTGATGATATTTTTTTTGTTAGCAGTAATTTAGGGTTGCTTCATGAGACAAAGAAAATGTTGACTGCTAAATTTGAGATGAAAGATCTTGGAGAAGTTTCCTATGTGCTTGTATTAAAATACATCGTGATAGAAAATTGTGGCTTGCTGGGAATTTTTTAGAAGGCTTATATACGACGTGTTCTAGAAAGATTTAAATGCAGAACTGTGTTCCCGATGATGTACCTATCATAAAAGGTGATAAATTTAATAAAACTCAATGTCCAATGACTAAACTAGAAAGGGAATCTATGAAAATGGTTTCATATGCTAGTGTTGTGGGAAGCTTGATGTATGCTTAAATTTGCACTAGATCTAATATAGCCTACAAAGTCAGTGTCCTTAGTAGGTTTCATCAAATTTAGGACAAGAGCATTGGAAAGAAGCTAAGAAAGTTATGAGATACTTGAAGAAAACTGAAAGTTATATGCTTACATTCCAGTGTTCAAATTACCTTGAGGTGGTAGGCTATTCAGATTCTGATTTTACTGGATGATTTGAAATCAACCCCAGGTTATATTTTCACATTAGCTTGGTGGTGTCATCTCTGGGAAAAGTGTTAAACAAACTCTAGTTGCATCGTCTATTATGCAAGCTGAATTTGTGGCATGTTATGGGGCTATGGTCCAAACCGTTTGATTAAGAAATTTCATTTTTAGATTAAAAGTTGTTGATTCCATCTTGAGACCTATCATTATTTATTGTGTAACAGTACATCAATGTTCTTTTCAAAGAATAATAAAAGTTCTGGTGGGTCAAAGTATATTGACATCAATATTTGGTAATTAGAGATAGAGTTAAGGAAGAACAAAAGAAATTAGAGCATATCAATACAGAGGCAATGACTGCTAATCTTTTGATTAAGAGACTTGCTCCAAAAGTTTGTGAGACACATATTGTTCATATGAACATTGTGGAAACGTTTGATATTTTTGGTTAGGGGGAGTTATTTATGAACTACGTTTTGGCTTAATCCCTTTACAGGGTACATATGCAACCTATATGGTTTTCGGGTTCAACCTCTTTCTAATAATAAAATATATTTTTCCTTATCCATGAATTATTTTGAGCATACATTTTAACTTATGTCTCTTATTATGATGTTATTATAATCTCGAGATATGACAGATAAAGACATAAGATGAATCTCTTTTAAAGACATGTGGCTTCATTTTGATCTGAAGCATTATGAGTACCGATATGAATTAACACAGTTTTTTATCACATTTGGTGCTAAGTTCATAACACATACTGCCACATTAGCTAGAGGATGGGGATCCATATCGATAAGGGTGTTGGCATTTATAGTTGTAGAATGGTCTTACATTACTTAATTGGTGTAATGACTTCCATGTTCGAAGTTAACATTCTTGTTGGACCAGATCATGTTGCATAAGGTGTCATCATGGAGCTATACTTTTGTGGTCACCTATGTAGTCTAACCCGGGTGTTGAAAGTTTTGTTATAGCAATCAAATGTTTACCGAAGTGGGAGAATTTGGAATATTTCTAATATGGGCTTCACATTTAATTATTTATTTTACAGGTTAGTTGTATTGCTTATAATGATATTTGTGATTGAGTCAAATTTATTAAGTGATCAATTGTGCCTTTTACACCTTATGGGATGTATATTATATAATATGATAATTTTAAGTATGTGGGTCGGTAATATATATAAATCCTAATTAGAGTTTCAGTCATAATAGGACGGCTCAATAATTTCCTATATAAAGGTTAGGTCCCCTCTCCTCTCCATCTTGTTTTATTAGCTTGCTCCATTGATGACCAATACTTTGTGAGGAGCAAGGAGGGAATGATTCGACTGCTATTATTCATATCAACGATGGGTTTTGCAGGTATGAATTCGATTTATAAATTCATTATATTATGATTCTTGATTCATAGCATGATTACAATTATATTAAATAATTAGAATCAAAGCCACCACGCTAAGATTGAAATCCTTCATAAAAATATTTATGATTTAACTTTTGACTCCACGTTGAAGAAATCACAAAACAACTACATGTTCCTTTACCTTTCGCCTCTGTCACCCTTTTTTTAATTCTCTCTAGTATAGTACATACGCCAGGCTTCGCTGAATTTGTCAAACGCAACCGTAATCATCCATTAGAGCCCTTGTTTTGAATTTCTTGTTCCACTTCTTGATTTAGAAGAAAACTTTTTAAATCTTGTTTTAAAATTACAGTGGTGTTTTTGCAAAATTTAAAACTACTGCCATTAAACTATTGGAATTCTCTCAGAGATAGAACATTAAACCATAACTAACCTATCTTTATGCTTTAACTATGGTTGTCTTGGGGTTTATAAATTCTTTCCTACTTTTTCACTGTTGCATGATACGAGTTGAAGTCAGAGCTAAATGCATTTCCAGCAATGATATTCTTGTTCTTTGCTTCATTGTCACCATCAATTACTATTAATCATCACCGGCATCGCATATATATAAAAATGCTCGCAAAGTCCGCACTTCTAGTTGACACAATATCTTGAGTCGAATGCCAATTCGAAGAAAAACTATTCGATCCTGAAGAGTTCGTTGTGTCATCTGAGTTTAGAAGGCAAGAATTCTGAAATGGTGGTTGTTTAGCCTTAAGAATCACACTCTTGTTGTCATCTCTTAGCATCCGAACTACTTTTGACATGGAAGGTCGTAATGACCTATGTGTTTGCATGCACAGAAGCCCTATTTGAAGAACACGTGACGCCTCCTCTTCATGAAAATCCCCTGTTAACCGCTATCAATCGATCGAGTAATTGTTTTGGATTTGTAGTTTTCCCATACCTAAGAGCAGAAATTTATGCCTCACAACTAAGAGCATGTTTAGCTATGAATGAGTAACTTATTTTTTTACTTAAAATAAGAAAAAAGTAAGTTCTTCAAACATGTTTCGCTTATTTCTATTGTATTGAAAAAGTTCTTTAAACATGTTTCGCTTATTTCTATTGTATTGAATGATTTAAGGCATTATGGATTGTAAAACGGAATCATTCACAAAGATGCTGTTTTTCCTGCTGCACGCAACTTCTATAGACAACACGCCGAAAGGGTATATTTCGGCCTTTTCAATTAAGCAACCTTGAACGAGATATTTGGGAGCAAGGTATCCTCTTCAAAAAAGGAAAAATTACATTTTTGTTCTATGATATATAAATGAAAACCACAACAAAAAATATTTTCGTATAGCTGGAAACTTACACGATTCCTGCAACTCCGGTACTGATATGGGATTTATCAGTACTAACACGTCGAACAAGTCAAAAATAAGCTATTTTGGCTCGAGATTCTCATCGAGCAGAATGTTACTGCTTTTAATATATCTGTGGATAATCTTAGCTTGACAGCCTTCATGAAGATGCGCAAGCCCCTCAACTATCCCACAAATTATATTTAATCGCTTATGCCAATTTACCAGTTGGGCTATTTTCCTATCTACATGAAACGTTAATCACAAGAACTCGAAGCAATATAAAACTCGAAGAAAATATCAAAACTCGCGCATACCAATGAGTATTTGATCAAGATTTTTGTTAGGTACAATTTCATACACGAGAAGACTATTTAGCCCTTCGATGCTACAAGTACAACCGTAAAATTTTACGAGATTCTTGTGCTGAATCCCGCTAATTGAGTTGACCTCATTGAAAATTTCATTCGTCCATTGTCGTGTATTGACGAACAATCTTTTGATAGCCACCATTATTCCATTAGGAAGGGTCCCTTTATATGTAGAATTGGAAAAAAGATTTTTTCTATTAATAGAATATAGTAAATAAGTATAATTAGGATTTCTATGGCAATAGGATATTTTATGATACTGCATAATTATAGGAAGATTGTTTGTGCGTAGATATATACCCCTCCTTTGGGATGAATAAAATTGATTTGTATTGAAACCCTAAAATCATTGTATTGTTTATCTTTTTGGTATCAGAGCAACAAAAAAAATTCTGGATTCTTTAACAATTTTCAATGGCTGAGGAGACGATGAACACGGCACAAGATCTTGAATCATCCATCACCACTACGCTACCTTCAAAAATCGTCCATCACCATTACACCACCCAAGATAACTCAACGTTCTCGACGAGCATTGCCTTAAATGAATCCAACTACACCTTATGGGCTCCTCTCATGCGCATGCGGATTGGATCACGGGGAAAGGTTGGATACTTGACTGGAGCAAAGAAGGAACCTGATATGCATTCTGTAGAATATGAAGCTTGGGCCACAGATAATGAAAAGGTGAAGAGTTGGCTGATCGACTCCGTGGAACCTTCGCTTATGAACAGGTATATTCGTCTTCCTACTGCAAGGGATATTTAGGAAGCTGTTGAAAAAACCTTTTATGATAACTCCGATGAAACCCGGATTTTTGAATTGAACAAGAAGTGTTTCGAAGCAAAACAAAGTGGACGACCGATTCCTACCTATTACAACGAATTGGTGGCCATGTTCCAAGAAATTGATCAGAGAGTAGCCTCACAGAATGATAACGTTGCAGCTGTAATTCAAGAAACTTCAGCAATGTAACGGATGCGTGTTCACATGTTCTTGAGTGGACTCGACTCCGAGTATGACCAGGTGCGTGGAGAAATACTACGAAAAGAACCTAAACTCTCCTTAGAACAAAGCTATGCCTACATTCGTAAAGTCCAATCGGAGAGACAGGCTATGGGACGCTTAGAATCAACCGAATCCTCGGTTATGGCTGTCGTACGACATCAGGATTCTTCTCCAGGGTTCGCTGGAGCTGCATCCCGTCGGTCCTCAAACAATCTAATCCATATGCAAACCAAAAGTGTAGCCACTGTGGAGAGTTGGGTCATAGCAAGGAGCGGTGCTATGAATTGATTGGTTATCCCGAGTGGTGGGACTTCACCAAGAAACCACGAAAAAAGTTGGGCAAGACTGCAACTGCTAAAGATGAAGGGTGCTCAGCCTCTGCTAATGTAGCACGGTCAGGTATGAAGAATGGAATTACTTTGAATAATACATGGATAATTGACACAGGTGCAAGTGACCATATGACCAATGATCCCAAGCTTGTGGCAGAATTCAAACAATCCTCTCAAAATAGTGTCTCTACTGTCGATGGTACCCCAACTCCGGTCACCGAAGAAGGTTCAGTTGCCCTGTCTAAAGACCTCACACTTGAGTCTGTCTTAGTTGTTCCTTCATTGACTTATAATCTCCTATCTGTGGGTCAAATTATTCTTGCTCTCGCATGTACTGTGACCTTTTATCCTTTATTTTGTGTATTTCAGGACATTCTGACACGACGGATTCTTGGTTATGGTGTTAGAAAGGGGAAATTATACTACCTGGATCTGACAAAATTTGGAGAGGAACGGAAGAATATTTTGGGACAAGTTAATCAGATTAATGGGGCAGATAGTGCAAAGGAAGTTGTTTGGTTATGGCATCGTGGTTTAGGTCATTTATCTTTTAGTTATCTTAAAAAACTTCAACCAAAATTGTTCTCAAATGTTAGTGACTCAGAATTTCATTGTGATGTATGTGAATTGGCCAAGAGCCATCGTATTTCCTATCCACCAAGTTTTAATAAAAGTCTAGTTCCATTTATGAAAATTCATTCTGATGTTTGGGGTCCTGCAAGAATTCCTTCTTGTTCTGGTGCTCGGTATTATGTAACTTTTATTGATGATTGCACGCGTATGATCTGGGTGTCATTGTTGAAGCATAAAAGTGAAATCTTTGCACGATTTACTGAATTTTATAAAATGGTGTCAAATCAATATCGCCAGTCGATTAGAGTTTTTCAGTCTGATAACGGTGGCGAGTTTGTGAATGGTCCTATGATGGAATTTTTCCGATCAAATGGAATTTGTCATTAGACCTCAAATTCGTATACTCCCCAACAAAATGGTGTAGTAGAGAGAAAAAATAGACAGTTGATGGAAGTGGTTCGTGCTTCATTGTTTGGCATGAATGTACCTCGAATATATTGGGAAAAAGCCATGAAATCTGCAGCCTATCTCATCAACCGTACTTCTTCCAGGGTGATTGAGTTTCAGAATCCTTATCAGAAAATGCATGAACTTTTGTCCATCCCATCCATGCCGAATTTGGAACCTCGGATATTTGGGTGTACAACCTATGTACACATACCAAAGCAACAACGGCACACTTGACCCCAAGCTGGACCCTCGAGCGAGAAAGTGTATATTTGTAGGATATGCAGAATTTCAGAAGGGCTGTAGATGTTATGATCCAATTACTGCCAAGTTACATATATCTCTTGATGTCTCTTTCCATGAATCTGAGCCTTATTACTCTGAAAGAGCTCCTCAACATTCTCCTCGGGGAGAGAGCGGTTTTGAAGGAAATCATTACTCTACCGTTGAGAGTGACATATTTGGAGAGTTGGAAAACTTGGAAGAAAAATTTGGAGAAACAAGAGGAGTGTCTGAAACTACTATTGAAGGTGTTGGAATGCCACTTGAGACAGAAGAAGTTGATCCATCATCACGTGATAAAGAAGCTTGAAATGAACAAATGATCAATCATATGGACCCTAGTGAAGAAGTTGAAGGTCACACTTTTGATTTCCACCCTTCTACACCACCAACCGAAGACCCCGTTCAGAATGATCTACCTCAGGTACCTTTACACTTAAATGAGTCATCTGAGTTAGAAATTAGGAAGTCACAAAGGGCTACTAAAGGTGTTCCTAAGAAACAATATGAACCAGACATTAAATCCAAAACCAAATATCCCATATCCAATTTTATGTCTAATCATAGGCTATCTAAGTCACATGCACTTGTGGTTGATCAATTATCTACTGTATCTATTCCTAGTAACGTGCAGGATGCATTGGCTGACCCTAAATGGGTGAAGGCGATGGATGAGGAGTTGGAAGCCCTTGAAAAGAATGCAACATGGGAGTTAGTGGATATACCTATTGGAAAGAAAACTGTAGGATGTCGTTGGGTGTTCACTGTAAAGCTCAAGGCAGACGGAACTATTGGCTGTTACAAAGTCAGCGATTTAATATCATTTCAACCATACATTCTTCAATAAAATAATATTACACACAAATCTAAAATTTTTCCTTATTTTTAACCACACATTTCTCACTGATTTGATATCAAAAATGCATTTTTCCTTATAATGTGGCTCAAACAAACCCTAAATATACACTTGAATTCTTACTATATTACTTTTCTTTGTAACTTATTTTCCTCTTAGTTTTATGATACGTCAGTTGAGCAATTAAAAAAATATTTTTTTCTTTATTTCAAAGCAAGCAACAAAGCTCTTAAAAATTGAACTAACAAAGAAATCTTCTTTCCCCCTTTAAAAGAAAACGTTAGTATTCTCTTCTTTGAATTGTATAAGAGCAACGGATATATTTTATTCTTTGTGGTCTTTTACTTTTTTTCCTCATGTGGGAGTTAGAATTAATTCCCGTTTATCTACTTCTATCAATGTGGAGAGGAAAAAAACATCTGTACTCATCGGATTTGATTACATCCTTGTAAGTTCGTAACTATCCCATTTAATGATAGACATATTTGCTTAGATGTATTTTACTACTTATCAAATTTCCAGAAGAATATTTTATTATCACTCTTGGAGGAACATTAATTTAGCATCAATATTTTAGAAGAATATTTTATAATTGCAACGTATCACTATTCTACAAGAATATTTTTATACTGTTCATGCATAAGCACAATGTCACGCATATCAACATTTAAAGCATAGTATTGTATCAATGCTCTGGAAAAAACATCGTACTTTTGTCTATATTTCAGGTGTTATTGTTTTGTTGCTTTTTAAGAAGCGCGACTTAACATGAATAATATGAAGAAAATTGTGCGGATGGTCATCATGCTGTATAGGTCATAATTTGGGACTAAACATGCAATTTTCTCATCATTTTTCAATTACACTATTTTCGGTTCAAAAAATCCTATTAGAGTATGGAACCCAAAAAATCCTATTAGAGTATGGAACCCATAAAGTTTTAGAATGATTTAAAGTTGGCATTTCAAGAATTCCCATTTCAGTACCAAATCAAACTCTCCCATTCATGAATTATTCCAAAAGGAAAACAATCGAACAACATAAATATTCAAGAATAATATTATTTTGTTACTCAAGAAAAAAATCTAAAATTTTGGACATATCAATATTTTAGAAGAATATTGCATTAATATCAAAAATTACCTTTATAAAAGTCTAAGTCAGATGTGTTACCGCTCCTATATAAGCATAACTTACATATATTGTTGGAGTCAAACCCTGGTTCTCTCATTTGGTGCTCCCAGAATTGCTAATTGTTGAAACCATGTTTTTATGAAGCACGCCTTTATAAGTATTAAACGTCTTTTTCTGGATGGTAAACACGTGTGGTGATATTGGCTGATGAGGTGAATCCAAAATGATTCTTTGGCTCCCTTATGACGATTCATTTGGACAGTGGACTCTTTGATTTTTTCACTTGAATTCATTTGTCTGGCTCTTCGGATTCTTGAGAGAAAAGGGGAGATGCTGGGGTTCGATTTACTTTGTAATTTCTATTTAAAATCTATGATTTTAAGTATGGAGTGATCGCATAAACCTTGAATTGTGTAATATTCTGAGTGAATATTGTGTGAATCTGTGTGATTCCATTGTTGTTGGTTTTGGTTTTGTGAAGATTTCTGGGTAGATCTTTGAGTGCTATCCATGCATTTTTGAAAGATAAATGTTTTGTTTTCATCTCTCTGAATATTTGTAATTTTGTTGCTATTTTGGGCTGTTATTAGTACAACAGAGCATAATCCCCTTTTTTGGATGCTCAACAAGGGATGTAGGTGTTAGAAGCGGTCATCGAATCTCAGGGGCTTCGGTCGAAATAATTCTTTGGTGTTCAACTTTAATTTTTTGCAGTTTATTTTTCAATTTGATCGAATTATTCTTGTTCCTTGACACTTATATTGTATAATCCTGACTATTCAGTGTATTAGAACACTGGACTGAGGAACAAGATACCAATTAGAGTACAGAACCCACGAAGTTTTAGAAAGATATAAAGTTGGCACTTCGAGAATTCCCATGTCAGTACCAAATCAAACTCTCCCATTTGCTAAGATTGATTTCATGAATTATTCCAAAAGAAAAACAATCCAACTACATAAATATTCAAGAATAATATTATTTTGTTACTCATGAAAAAAATTTAAAATTTTGGACATATCAATATTTTAGAAGAATATTTCACTAGTGTCAAAGATTACCTTTATACAAGTCTAAATTGGATAAATGTGTTACCGCTCCTATATAAGCATAACTTATATACATGTGCACACAATCAGCTCAACTACCATCCGATCTTGTTTGAACTTTTGACCTTTGACACTTTTCGAGTCATTGCTCGATCTGAACTTTGAAAATATAGGTTTTTCTCTTGCAAAATTACTCATGTATAAAAACAAATAATAATAATAATAATTTTGAAGAATGCTACAAGGTGTTTATTCATTCAATAATACCAAGATTTGTTAACTTAAGCTATGTATCATTGGACGTGTAAAGAGTCCTGATTCAAAGCCACTATCCCAGACATAAAAGCAAAAAATGCATTACTTTTTAAAAAATATTACCCTGCAAATTATTCCAATTTTGGATTTTGAATCCATAGTAGCAAATGATAATTGTTGAGGTTCAAAGGGGTATCATTGTTGAGACACATTAACACCACAGTTTCCGCAGTTACATTCACAAATTACATTGCAGATTACTATTGAATTTCTAATCCGTAGAAGCAAATTGATGGTAGGTGAAGTTCCATGTTGGAGTATCATCATTCAGAAATTTCGAGTCAGCAAAAGCTGAAGGTAAATGATTCAGATCCAATCAGGAAATCAAATGACTATTTAGGCAAATTCTAAATCTATGTTGATTGATTATAGCATACACGTGAACAGTGAACATCTAGCAAAGTTGATATAGGACAACTAGCTTTGGAGTTTGAAAAAGTGTTGGACAGAAAATTAACAAAGAAAAATCGCACCAGGGGCAATTTTGTCATTTGTCGCGACGGTGTCGGAATGGGCTGAAATTTGGCAGGTTGATTGGAAACGACCCGAGAAATTGGACTCGGGGTGGACCCAAGATCTCGGGATTTTAGCTAAATCCCTTCGTTTAGGCCTCCGAATAATTAATTTCCGTATTTCCCGTTTTGAATTTTCGCCATTTTTGGAACGTTTTATTTTTTCTATCTTTTAGGGTTTCTTGTAATGCCTATTTAATGGCTTTTGGAACGTTTTCCATGATCAGTGAATAATATACAAGTTTCATTCTTGGAGAATTCCAATTTTCTTATTTTCAAGTTTTACGTTGGTAAATTTTTTGTTTTTTCTTACTTCCGTTCTGCGTCGAAAGTTCCTAGGTGATTGAATTAAAGAATTTTTTTTTTTCCGGCTAATTCTTGTTCCAGTTTCCAATAGTGCCATCATTGAAGGCGTTTCCGGTCAGCAAACAAGATATTAGGCAGAAAGTTGGAGGTAGTTTACACGTTAAGATGTTTTACTGAATGCGGAAAATGCATAAACTGATTTTCGAAAATTATTTTATGATTTATGAAATGATAGGAATAAGATGCATAATGTGAGTAAAAATCTATTGAATTTTGGAAAAAAATCTTGATAACGGAGGATAGTAAAGGGGGTTTTGTTAGAGAAAAGGGTTTGAGAGTGCTGAACTTCAGTTGTCATTCAGTAGATAGTTTGCACGTTATACTGAAGCATAGCTTCAGTTTAGCATTGTGCTGCCGGCTTATTCAAGTGGATGAATTTGTTTGATATTCTGTCTAATACTAGTGGTGCCGTGCTGTTGAATTTTGCAAGAACTTCGATAATGCAATCTAATATCGAGCAAGTTATCTCTGTTAACTCTGTAATACAAATTTGAGCTTCTCTTTACTTTTTAAAATTGTTATGCTTAATATTATGAAAGAAAATAACTTGCAGAGAATATGAATAATCAGGAGAAGCAAACAGTCCAATTCTACGCTGTTGAAGCTTTGTTAATGAATTTTTTGAGTTTTTACACAAAGAAGGCACTGAGATACTTGGTGCCTTTTACAAATTATTTGCCTATATGATTGGAGTCAGCCTCTGTCTTACATGCTTTTCGCTGAACTACAATGGATTTTGCTATTACCAGTCACTATAAATGTGAAAATCAGGTGATCCTAATTTCCATGCTCCATAAGTACAAGCCATTTTTCGATATAAGCTGATTTCTCCATATTCGAACTACGTTCTTCATGCTGCTGAAGAATATGGAGAATTTCTTCAGTTTGACCTAACAGGAGAGCTGCTTGATGGACACTCTTCTCCCTCTCTTCTATGGCATTCTGCTGACATTTCATGGTTATAACACGCGTTAAATTGTTTAGACATGCTGCCATTACATCTGCTATCATTGTGGATAATTGGTTGAATAAGCCTTCATCCGTTAGGTGATCCTCGCTTTCAAGTACTAGTAAAATAGTTCTTGTCATTCTGTACATTGAATTAGCAGCTATAACCTCGACTGGCCAATTAAGAGGGTTTTTCATACGGCAATCATTCGCATTTCTCTTGAACTCCATTACTGTGTTTTCCGCTTGATCAGAGAGTTCTTGTAATGTCTCCTTGGAGTTTCGGCCTTTATTAGACATTTCATGGAGATCTTTGCATAGCCATTTTTGATCTAGTTCGACTTCTACCCACACGACATCTGATGCATTTCGGATGTTTAGTCGAACCCCATTTCTATCCAGGCATTTCTCGATAAGTTTTACATAGAACATGCCTTCATTAACGCTGGTAAGTAACCACTTAGTACTGTGTACTGGAACGTTTGGAAGTGCTATTGCAATACTTGTCAAGGTCACGAGATGTAAAGACCAGCAATTAGGAGGTTCCTGAGAATGCAGATTGGGTACTTGATAATCATAAATTCCTGTCAAGCTGCTGAAGTTTTCAATTTTAAGTAAAAGGTTTTTCAGGTTCTTCCGTTGCTGATTTTTGCCCGTCTCGATCACTTCATCAACCTTGTTGCAGATGTTTTTAAGAGTCTTTGGAGGCTGCTCGACTTCACCTTCTAGTAGCAGAACATAACAGGCAAGATCCTGTTCTGTATCAACCCCTGATTCCGATTCTGAAAACCCATGAATATCGGATGTGCTAGAGGTGGATTTATTCTTCAACCCTTTGATGCAGTGGAAACACAAGATGATTCGACTCACAAAACATACAGAGATAAGTTGGACTAATTTGCTGTGTAGGACAATCAAGATCTGAACTTTAATAACAAAACTCAGAACTAGTCCTTTTGCACCATGAAGAACTTTTCTCCACTTCCTGTCTCTAATTTCCAATGGCAAAGAGCTTTTCTTCCACTCCACCAGCCTCTGTGTCCAGTAACTCTCGATTTTGAATGCAGTCTTAAAGCTCATCAGGCCTTTTGCTGAGTGAGCGAAATTTACTGCAGTCAACCATCTGAATCCATGGGCAATTGTACCCAAAATCACTCCAGCAGATTGTGCAAGTTCTATCCAAGTTGTCGACCAAGCATAGCTAGAAGCTGTTTCGATGAATGATTTATGCTTTGCGGCCGTGTGAGCCTGAGCTTCTGCGAAAATGAAAGCAATCACCAGACAAATGACGCTAGAAGTCGAACAGGTCACAGAACGTACAATCACGAATTGAGGGCTACTAGTTTCTGCCATCACCCAGCATTTCTTGATCATTTGTCGCAGTTTGTCCGTTGAGAGTTTCTCAAAGTCGACAGGCTGCTCGAGTTCTTCCTCTGAAGCCTTTTTCACCATTTCTTGGTACTTCAATTCGAGATATTGTTTGGTCGTCGGGACAATTACAGCTGAAGCAGATAACATAACAAGCAAAAAGAGGATGGACAAATTAGCTATAATTTCCTCGACCAACATTTCTCGATGGTCCAGAAAATGCCTCATTTGGATGATTTGGATACAGACATTAACAACGACTGTGATAGCAAGCATGGCTAAAGCAATTACATTTAGCAGAATCTCTTTATCATTCATGGATCCCAAAGATGTCATGAAGTTTCCCATAGCAGTTGACAGGAAAATTAGGCTAGTGACCTTTGCAAGCCTATCAGCACCAGCCCACATACGAGTCGAAAGATCAACGGGCAGCTTCATTGCCACTGCTAATAATGACAAAGAAGTAGCATTGATCGCGAAATACTTCGATGGGAACCATAACTTCTTGGTTCGGAATCCATGGAACACGTCGGCTGCCATTGCCAGAGAGCAGACTAGAGAGGCTGCTGCAACATACATGCCTATCCATGGCATAGGAGCCTCAAGTTGCCTTTCCACAACTCCATCATTGTCGTGGCCCATCGGTGGAATCGCCTTTTTCTGATAGATTTTCTCGTAGATCTAGCAATGAACTGAGAAGAGCGGTATAAACGGGTTCATATAACTGAATCTATATTTTAGTTATTGGTGGGGGAGGTTTTTCTGCTATGTGTACTCTCTGAGACCAGGCCTTTGTTCTTCTGAAGATAGGGGAAGGCTTGACTTATTATAGTACTAACGAATCCAGTGTTTGATGACTTCAAATATTATTCTGCTCTGAATTTCCTGTGGTTGATTTGACCCTCCAATGTAATGGAGACAAGAGCAAAATAGAAAAAGTGGAATAAAACTTCAATGCGTGAAAAGCTTTAGCCGTGGCTTCAAGCCTCCAGCACATAGTAGTCAAAAGGAGTCTGCGCGAAAATATATTATATTGATTATACCGAATATCGATATTAGATTTGTAGATTATAAAAAAATAGTGTCGATATAAGCTTTCAACTAATTTAAAGAAAAAAAATAATGATACTTTTCTTTCGAAGATGTGCATTATAAAATAGTTGTTCATAATAATTTTACTTTCCAAACTGTGCATTTTTTTCCTTTCAACTACTATGGTTCTGTCATTATGTTATTTTATTACTTATATAAAAGAGCTAGTTGTGCATATATACATTATTTCCACTTTACCCTTAAGAATATAGATTAATCTATTCAAATAATTCCCATTCAAATTTTGGCCACATTAGGTCTTTAAGATGTCGTGTTTGGTCCGTGTTTAAATATGGCCTTAAATCGTTTAAATTTCACTTGAAAGAATGTGAGCATGGGTTATAGATAGACAAAAATACCCTTAAAAGAATGGATTACGAGCCTTTCAAGTGACAATTAGACCAAAAGTTGAACAATCATCGTCCATTTGTCCTTAAGCGCAGCAAGTATGATTATTTGGGGCCCTAAATGAGAGAGAAAAAATGTATGAGGACCCAAGTGAATCACGCGGCAATGTTTGGGGAGCTATAGGTGAGAATTTCCCATTAAAATAATGTTAATAAAATTTATTGAAATGAACTGCTTACCAAATCCATAATTTTACTCCTAAGGTGCCACCACCTAAATTCTTAAAAAGTAATATTATTCAATATCACTAGTATCAAGCACCAATTCAGATGATAACTGAATGATATTAAATTATGGATTCACTTAAAAACAATATCATATGTTTAATTTAATTGATCCTATTAAATGTGACCACCTATACTGGAGTCTACATCAATGTCTCAAAATTGGAGCTAACAAAGTTTATTCCGATTGTGACGAGAATTAAAGCAATATGATAAACGTGGAAGTGGAATTCACTTATCTTGTTACATATTAGAAATTAACAATTACAAATAAAATTCTATTGATCACAATTGATCGAAGATAATTCATTCATCCATCTCTGAACATATCAAATCATTCAATAAATTCATATAAATAAACAAGAAACCTTAAGCACCATACCCAAAACCCCAAGAACTCAAATGAAGAATTTCAGACAAAAGCCATGAAATTAAGTATCACGTGCCTCGACAATATTTTCTACAACATGGGCAACGCTACATAAACCTAAGGTTTTCTTCCAAATCGCCCCCAGGGCACATCTCCAAGTGGTAAAAGGGGAGGGTGGAGAAATCCAGCTTTACTTGAGGCTGTCGCGTCAAGGATTCGAATCTTGAAATATGGATTTAGCTCTTGGGTAAGTGCAAGTGTACAAGCAGCCTTCCACCCTGTACCCTTGGAGGCATAACCTGCGATTTACCTCCCTCACGATGCT